GTGTAATATAGTTTCACAATCTTTCAAACAATACCGCACACTATGCAAGGTGAGGCGAAATGGGGGTTTAACGTCGCGTCCAAAATGATTGCACTTATATAGCGACGTGCATGCACGTGTGTGTGTGGCTGCTTGTACAAGTCCGGACTGATACCGATTTTATAGTGCTAGCCCACTGAGATACCATGCCGCAGTTTAACATGAATACTCCACTCAGACACAGTAAACTGACTCCGAGCCGACCAGTCTTTGTTTTAGCCTATCAATGCCGAGCGCCAGACAGGGTAACAACAAGTACCATCTTTTAAAGTTTTCTGGTATGAGGCGGCCGGGAATCGAACCCCGGACCTTCCGCTCTCCGGGCGGACGCTCTACCACTAGACCACAGAGGCAGTCGCACACTACACAAGAAACTTTATAAGATTTAGCTTATGTTTTCAGCATTGTATCGTGATGGGGACTAGTACACATAGTCCTACAAAAAACATATTCTAATTAAATAATTAAGACCAAACATGTACACACACTATATACAAATATACGTATACCCTATGTATTTGCACTATATATCTAAACCCCTCTTGGGGTGGTCGGGAAGCCTCGTGCTTAAAGTGTTCGCTCCTCACGCCGAAGACCCGGTTTGATTCCCGACATGGGTAAAATGTGTGAAGCCCATTTCTGGTGTCCCCCGCCGTGATATTGCTGGAAAGCGGCGATAAACCTTACTCACTCACTCACTAAACCCCTCTCACTTTACCGTTTTGTTTGTTTGTTTGTTTGTTTGTTGTTTAACGCCGCACTCACCAATATTCCAGCTATATGACGGCGGTCTGTAAATAATCGAGTCTGGACCAGACAATCAAGTGATTGACATCATAAGAATCGATCCATGCAGTTGGGATACGATGACATGCATCAACCAAGTCAGCGAGCCTGACCACCCGATCCCGTTCGTCGCCTCTTACGACAAGCATAGTCGCTTTTTACGGCAAGCATGGGCTTCTGAAGACCTATTCTTCCCCGGATCTTCACGAGTCTCTTACTTTACCGAGCACCGTACAATCTTTAACTTGAACACAGCAATATATCACTACAGACTGAGCACTCTCACACCAAGTCTGCAGATGTTCTACACCTTTGGGTCATCTTGTCCAGAAAGGAATGACATTAATGTCCCTTTCAAGCTGTAAAAGCATAAAAACACTTGTCTCATAATATTACCAGTGACAACAAATACAGAACTCTACTCTGTTCACCACATGGCCAAGCATCACTGCAAAATGATCAGTGCAAGGAATTATTGGCGACACGGGCGGTATTCGATTTATGTGTTCCCCTTTATGAAAACAGTCGCTGTTGTATGTCACCTGCTGTATGTCGCTGTAGGTAATTGTGTTAAATGCACCTGCATGTAACGGTGACATACACAACTGCATGTAACTTTCAAGTCTTTCAAGTAGCGCTTGTATTATTGGAGCGGTTTAATACAGGCAGAATAACTTTAACATAAGTCAACGTTCAAGTAGAGAGGTACGTCACATGGAGCGCCATGTCGTAAAACGTATGTGACAAATTCCAGGTTTACCTCTTTGAATTCTATTTTACTATTTAAGTAGTTTAACACATTGAAATACAGACATGGTAAAATCATGCCCATTGACAGTAGCGTGAAGAAATGCAGATTGGGTGAGTGTGATTTTTAAAGAAATGACACAATCAGGGATCTAAATCATATACGATTACCCTCCATTGAACCATTGGGAATAACAAGTCACGCCTTGTGTTCAAAAGCGAGGCGAATTGCGACATAAGTCTATTCAAATAACATTTGCTAAGATCTTCTTGATCATTTGTTTGGGTAGACCTATTGAGAAAACCAACAAGGATAGCCCCAGTGTTCCCATGTTCATGCCTAAGACAAATAATATTTACGGCACCAAATATATTTAACAACACTTTGATAGTTTGAAAGCATTTGTAAATAAACCTCTTGATATCGAGATCCAAACACACAAGATAACTCCTTCTCCGTTTTACAATACTTGATTTAGGGACATTTTTAAGGCACCCATCCTACTGGATCTGATAACAGTTGCATGAATACATACACGCTGATGACCCTTGTCCCAGAGCCCTGGAGAAAGGCCTGAGTTTAATACCCCTATAAAGTGTAGACGTACTAATCTGATTACACATGTGTCAGCTGGGAATTGTAAATCCTCACAGATTTTGATGGTCTACGTACTCGAAGTGTACACACAAGGCCTCCTTGACACAGTACTTTATATTGTACCATTCACGGAGTGTCTCGCTGGTCATCATTTAAGGTCAAAGTACAAGTAAGCCTTAATTTTGTCTTTATAAACTGAATCACGGACGGCCATCACACTTGCATCACCATTCGCCACCACTCGCCCCTTTCCGTAACCTGCAAGAAGACTCGTACCCCTATTGAAAATACGACAAACCAATCAGAATGCGCGTATGATTTCAAGTTCTTCGTCAAAGAATCCCCAGAAATAATTTCTCTTTTTACATATGTCTTGCATCTAAAAATATACCCGAGACACAGTTAAATGGTTCAATCATAATGTATAATTTCGCATGTCCTGATGTGCTTTTAATTGCATCTGAAATATAAATGATATATGGGGAAATATGTGTGAACCATTATGCAACGAGTTGACATTTGTTTTAGGTATGCCCGTTTGCGCTAAGACGGAACCCGGTTGCAAAAATGGCCACGAGAGGGGCACGAGTCGCTGTTCGGCTTGTCCCGGAATAACACGAGCTGGTCACGAATGATGCATCACGACCAACACCACACCGCGACCAGTGGACCATGCCCCGCGTAGATGGTGGCGCCCGAACAGGCGAGTGGGTCATGGTCGTGACTAGAATTGGGCACTGTTCGACCACGTGGTACTGAGCGCGTTGGTGGATGTTGAACAAGCTAGAACAACTTCATCTCGACACAAAGCCAAGTTTGCTTGTTGTTTAACGCCGCACTAATATTCCAACTCTATGACGGCGGTCTGCAAATAATCGAGTTCTGACCAGACAATCCTGTGATTGACATCATGAGAATCGATCCACGCAATTGGGATACAATGACACACATCAACCAAGTCAGGGAGCCCGACCACCCGATCCCATTGCTCGCCTCTTTCGACAAGCACAGTCACCTTTTACGCCAAGCATGGGTTGCTGAAGACCTATTCTACCCCGGATCTTCACGGGCCACAAAGCCATGTTCGCATCAGCCAAAAAACCTGTTCTAAGCACGGGATGATATAACTAAACTACCGAAAGACAGGGCACTCCTCTAGACGTTGCTTATCCATGAATGACCATGTATTGCCCATAGGATTCAGGGGCAGATACCCCCTGTTGGGATTCCGGGTTTGAGGTCGATCCCCAGTAACCTATGTTTGTCGTACATGGCGACTAAATGGTTTAAGTGGTTAGGCTCGGTCACTTAGTTAATTGGTTGTCATCGTACCTCGACGGCGTGATACGTTGTTCATAATATCGATTACAAGTTTGTCTGAGCCAGATTCGATTATTTACAGGCCGCCGTCATGTAGCTGTAACACTGGTGAGGGTGATGTTGAACTACTTACAAACAAAACCCTTTCCATATTCATATTCATATTCATCTCTGCCAAAAGCAGAGTCGAATGTACGATTCCGACTATGTCATGAGCATGTGTTTATGAATCACTCTCAGATGGTGATGAGGGGGGCACAGGTGGCCAAGTCGTCTAAGGCGACGCGATTCGCTGTGCAGAGTTGCGTACCTTGGGCACGCCAGAAACCTATGATTGTGGGTTCGAATCCCGGTTCGCCCCGATTATGTTTCTAGGTTTGTCAGCACCATACCCGTGCTCGTGGGTTTCACCGAAGTGGTAAACGTCTGAGACCCGCATCACTTTGGGCTTTCCTCCCACATTAAGCTGACACGCCGCGATATAACTGGGATAATGTTAAAAGCGGCGTTAAACCCAACTCACTCACTCACTCAGATGGTGATGACACCAGGTGTTCGCGAACTATGTATCCAAGGTAGCAGGAAACATGCAGTCCAGGATTTCCTGCGAAATTGCCATAAAAATGAAATCCATTGAAGATTCAGAAAAGTCTTGAAAGGAATCGTTATGTTTGCATTGTCAGTTATAGAACATATTGAGGATTGTTAAGACATTAGTTATATAATGAAACAAGGTTGAACAAAAGGAAAAGTGATGTGACGAGACTGAACTTAGAACAGATCATAAGATCATTGGCACCATGTGAATCTATACACGGTAACTGGAATCGAACAAGCAAGTGGCAAACCCGACCTTCTACAATATTGAAACTCCCAAACACATGAAAAAAACACTATGTCAGTCTATAGTTAAGTATATTTGCTATGTAAGAACCACGACTTGGTATATACAATGGTCTGTGGTTGTCAGTCTATATTAAAGTCTATATGCTATGTAAGAACCACGACTTGGTTTATACAATGGCCAGTCTATATTATAGTATATATGCTATGTAAGAACCACGACTTGACATATACAATGGTCAGTCAATATTAAAGTATATATGCTATGTAAGAACCACGACTTGGTTTATACAATGGTCTGTGGTTGTCGGTCTATATTATAGTATATATACCATGTGAGAACCACGACTTGACATATACAATGGTCAGTCAATATTAAAGTATATATGCTATTTAAGAACCACGACTTGACATATACACTGGTCTGTGGTTGTTTGTCTTTATTATGGTACCTATGCTATGTAAGATCTACGACATGACATATACAATGGTCTGTGCTTGTCAGTCTATATTAAAGTATATATGCTATGTAAGAACCACGACATGACATACACAATGGCCCTTGGTTGTCAGTTGCTGGTTGTGGCAATGCGCCAAACTGCGCGTGGTAGCCTCGCAGTCGCCAACTGGTATATATACGAGTAACGGTCAAACACAAAGTAGTCTAAGAGCGACCGTCACAAGGGCTTCACTAACCAGAACCGTCTCAACATTGATTACAGCACATAGGCGTTAAAGGGCTGCATCGGCAAAATCACACTAAATCAGGTGGAAAGAGCAATACCACTTCTTTAATACAGAATCATTTTAACAAAGGTAAGTCGGTTAATTCATTTCTTTACAATGTGTATTCCACTATAGCCCGACAATATTGATTGTGTTTCAATACCAACTTCTACATATTGTTAGTACTAATATTCATTTCATATATGTTTCTTACCACTGAGAGGCTAATATTTCCCAAAAGCATACTTGTGAATTGTGACTATTCCAAATCCACGTTCCAACGATTTAGTTCACTTTAATTAAATTGACATTGATGGTTATTGAATGTGATGCAAACTGGTTATAAAGGACAACCTTACACTGTTATAACCGAGTTCTTACACTGTTATATCCAAGTTCTTACACTGTTATATCCCAGCTCTTACACTATTATATCCGAGCTCTTACACTGTTATATCCAAGTACTTACACTGTTATATCCCAGCTCTTACACTATTATATCCGAGATCTTACTCTGTTATATCCAAGTTCTTACACTGTTATATCCCAGCTCTTACACTATTATATTCCAGTTCTTACACTGTTATATCCGAGTTCTTACACTGTTATATCCGAGTTCTTACACTGTTATATCCAAGTTCTTACACTGTTATATCCCAGCTTTTACACTATTATATCCCAGTTTTTACACTGTTATATCCGAGTTCTTACACTGTTATATCCCAGTTCTTACACTGTTATATCCCAGTTCTTACACTGTTATATCCCAGTTCTTACACTGTTATATCCGAGTTCTTACACTGTTATATCCCAGTTCTTACACTGTTATATCCCAGTTCTTACACTGTTATATCCCAGTTCTTACACTATTATATCCCAGTTTTTACACTGTTATATCCCAGTTCTTACACTGTTATATCCCAGTTCTTACACTGTTATATCCCAGTTCTTACACTATATTTGCAGTTTGTGAAGTATGGAATTTATCAAATGTCTATTCTTGATAAGGTGGAATAATTTGATACAATTTTAATTCTAACAAACTTAATCTTTATAACATTCAAGAATTATGACATTATGGTGGCGGAGACAATGTTATAATGGACGTCCAATGGATGGGAAGAGTTGGGGCGTTTTTATCTATTTGTAATATACGTCACTACACCATCAAACTAAATGAATTTAACCAGCCGAGATATCTGCCCATGCCTGAATTATTCCCACATCAATTACACAGTATTGTCATGGTCTATGTAGATATCTCAAATGTCAACAACGTTGATTACGATGTCAATCAAACGTTCCCCTTTCTACTTCCAGGTCCTCCATCAATGGCGTCTGTTCAGTTCCGCCAAGCCCTTCTCATGCTCAAACTAGGGATGGAGGACAGTCCCCCATCTGACGTCGGAGAGGACATGACGTGTCCAAGATGTCTGCCGTCGTCTCAGCTCGACTACAGCTTGTTCCGCAGATGTTCCCTGGAGGTGCCAGACATGTGCTTGTGTAAAGACAGTCGACGTCAATCAGTTCACTGGGCAGATGAAAGTCACCCGAGTCTGGAGACACCGAGATCTCAGACATCGAAAACAACTAAAGCCAAGAGGAACAAGCCAAGGTCCATTCTCAAGACAAAGGACAGCGAAGAGAACTCATGATGAGCCGAATGACGTCAGCTGATACGACGAAGAGCAGATATGTCCAGGTATCCCAGTTGGACAGTTGCTTGATTGCAATACCTGAATTGGTACGTTCTTGGTGCAATACCCGTAACGACACGTGTCCAGTGACACCTGACGCTAGATCTAGACATCCAACAGTCGACAATTCTCCCATCGGAATGGACAAATGCTGACAATCACCTCTCGATGGCGAAATGATGAAATAGTGTAAGCGGCGATAAGTTTCTTTTTATATTATTACCAACTCTGACGTCATGAAGCATTCATAATAAGACGAGTTGTCTTGCGTTGTTCTCTCTGTTCACGTCCTTGGTTTGTACGTTCTATTCACTATGTTATACATTTATACTTTGAAAATAAAACATTTTGTCAGAACTGTGGTGAGGTAGTTATTTTACACAAGGAGTTTCCCATGGGATTGTGGGGTGGAATCTCCTCGGAGACACCGGGTCACGGTCTCTGATGAAGATGGGGATCTGATGACGAGGGGCAATGAGGGGTGCATGGGTGACCTCGCCGCAGCTGTAACCTGAGTTCCATCGTAGCCGACAACGGCCTCCTTGCTACCATCAGCCTGTCTGCTGCGAGGGTGGTTGGGGTAGCCTAGTTGTTGGAATTTTCCAAAGTCGTGGCAGGTGTTCTATTCCCGGACGACAATGCGTGATGGCGTCCGTGGTGTCCCCCATGGTGTTGCTCAAAAAGCGGCAAAAAAACACCCCAGCTGGAATAATTATACGTTGTAAGGCCGTTGTAAAGTCCGTCGTAAATTATCATTGACGGATTAACTGTGTGTGTGTGTGTGTGTGTGTGTGTGTGTGTGTGTGTGTGTGTGTGTGTGTGTGTGTGTGTGTGTGTGTGTGTGTGTGTGTGTGTGTGTGTGTGGCGTTGGTGGATGCGCGGATGCGGGCTTGTGTGTGTGTGGTGAATGTGTGTGTGTTTGGGGTGTGTGGTGTGATGTTGTCTGTGTGGTGTATGTGTGTAGCTTGTGTGTGTATGTGTTTGTGTGTTTGAGATGTGTGCATGTTGTCTGTGTGGTGTATGGTGTGTGTGTTTGGTGTTTGTGTGTGTGTGTGTGTGTGTGTGTGGTCAGTGTGTGTGTGTTTAGGGTGTGTGGTGTGATGTTGTCTGTGTGGTGTATGTGTGTAGCTTGTGTGTGATACGCGTGTCTCTGTGTTGGATGTGTTTCACGTATTCAGTCGCTGCAGCGTACCCTTCTTAGAGTGCCAGGCTTTATAACAAAAATGTTAAAAATATATATAACGTACATGCTATCGTCGAAATAACACGTTGGTATAATAGAACCCAGTTCCACATTGATATTTCATTGTATTCGGATCACATATCTTAACTTGCAGTCCACACTGGACATGAATGACACTTGGTGACAGCCGTTTAACAAAATCTGTTGAGGTGATCGATCGCATTGCACTCTTTTATGAAGTAACGTGTCTCTGTGTGTATGTCGCCCCATGGGGTATCATTTCACGACATTGGACGTCGGCTTCGATACATATATGTCTATGAATGCTCTTCTGTCACCCAGAACCGTGTTAACAATATAACTATGCTTGGTATTCACAGGTACACACTGTTGTAGGAGTTAGGTTCGTGTTGTGTTGCAGTAATTGTAAACAAAGTGTTCTTGCCATGAGACGGTGTAAACAAACCAGACAATCAGGTGATGGACTGTAAAATCCAGGGACACGAAAGCGCACTTTTGTTGAAACTGAAAACGTTTTTTTTATTTTGAGAGAGGAAACCCTCTTCAACAACCCTAGTTACTGTTTTATCACCGGGACAAAATGTACAGACGTCCCTCCGTAAGCTCAATGAACTATCTCACAAAATGAAAGCATTTATAGACATATGTCAAGGCAAATCAAATATCCAGCGCGCGCAATGAGCAAGGAGTCTAAACAGTCATCAGCATGGATCGATCCAGTCATTCCGAAGTCTCTATTAACTAAAGGAATAAGGGGGGCACGGGTGGCCCAGTCGTCTAAGGCGCCGCGATTCGCTGTGCAGAGTTGCGTCCCTTGGGCAGGCCAGAAACCTATGATTGTGGGATCGAATTCCGGTTCTCCCTGATTATGTTTCTAGGTTTGTCAGCACCATACCCGTGCTCGTGGGTTTCACCGAAGTGGTAAACGTCTGAGACCTGCATCACTTCGGGCTTTCCTCCCACATTAAGCTAACACGCCGCGATATAACTGGAATACTGTTAAAAGCGGCGTTAAACCCAACTCACTCACTCATTCACTCACTATAGGAATAAACCATAAGGCTCTGTAGCACGTACTTCGTTTTGTTTACAGATGTAGAATTTTCAGAAAATCTAAATCAGGTCCCGGACAAGCTCCCGGTTTGTGTTACGAGGTGATTTCCAAATTGAAATGCAGAGGTTAACCCAGAAATTGGTTTTTACTGAGCTAAATTGTGAAATCATCAAATGACCACAAAAGATCAATGGAAAATAAATATCGTTTAGGAACACAGAGTTTTAGGTATAAAATCACAAAAGCAGTACAATGGCCAAGGATACTCCCCAAAGCAGTACTATGGGTCAAGGACAATCCCGAAAAAGCAGTACAATGGCCAAGGATAATCCCCCAAAGCAGTACTATGGGTCAAGGATAATCCCCCAAAGCAGTACTATGGGTCAAGGATAATCCCCAAAGACAGTACAATGGGTCAAGGACAATACCAAAAAGCAGTACAATGGGTCAAGGACAATACCAATAAGCAGTACACTGGTCAAGGACAATGGCCAAAAGCATTACAATGGGTCAAGGACAATGGCCAAAAGCAGTACAATGGGTCAAGGACAATCCCCAAAAAGCAGTACAATGGGTCAAGGACAATCACAAAAAGCAGTAGATTGGGTCAAGGACAATACCAAAAGGCAGTTCAATGGGTCAAGGACAATCCCAATAAGCAGTACAATGGGTTAATGGAAATCCAAAAAAAGCAGTACAATGGGTCAAGGACAATACCAAAAAGCAGTACACTGGGTCAAGGACAATCCTAAAAAGAAATACAATGGGTCAAAGGCTAACAGTCAGCAGCAATACATATCAAGCCCCTTAACACAAGTCAGTCCACAAAGCCCAGGATTTGTCACTGTTGTCTAGAAAGACTTGAATGCATTAAGCTTTAGATATATCGTTCAATAACCATCAAAAAGCCAATTCCCTTCCACGGATTTACCCACTAGAAATTAAGGAACCAGTGAGACCATCCTTTCATACTTAGATCTATGCATAAAGATTCAGAGTGACAAACTCTATTAAGTCTTTGAAAGGCATTTAGAAGTGATACGCATACGGATGAGAATGTATGGATGTAAACTTCTTTATTATGAGGAACACAACGTATCGGTGTATATACTTACTCCTTCATCAGGTGAATGAATGCCACGAGGCAGAGAGACTCGTATATGTAGATATATACGCTTTCTGCTTCATAGCATCCATTCACCTGATGAAGGAGTAAGTATACACTCCGCAACGTTGTGTTCCTCACAATAAAGAAGTTGACAAAACATACATTCTCTTCCGTAAACTATATTGTTCTTACTGTTCACTGCTCTGTTTATGCATGGTAGAAATTGTAAATCAATTATGTAAATATTTGGGAGAAGGTGTCCAAAGTTGGAGAGCGTGTACCCAATCCCATTCACTTTTTGTGAATAAAATATGTTTTCCTCATCTCATAAGGAAGAGAATTTATGGATGTCAACTTTCTCATTATGAGGAACACAACGTTTCGGAGTATATGCTTACTCCTTCATCAGGTGAATGAAGTAAGCATATACACCGAAACGTTGTGTTCCTCATAATAATGAAGTTGACATCATAAATTCTTTTCCTTATGTGTATGACAATCGTCAAACGGTGGAAGATATTTCATAATAGTGGAAGATTTTGATGTTTTCCCTTTAAGAATTTCATTCGAATAACATTTTAAGGTATATTTATTACAGATAGACAATTGACGTTCGAAGCATTGTTACTGACATTTGAGATTGTGATCCTTGTTATAACGTCAACAAGAATCAGGCCGTAGACGTGTAATTGAAGTCCTACAGCAGTGTTAATACTGCTCGTCTTTATTCATATAATAATCGATACCGATACAATGTGATCGATCACTCATAAAGGCCTCATCTAAACAGGAGTGGTATTTGAGTGATTATGGGCTATATATAGCTACTGTGCAGCTATTCTCGACCTGCGTCTATCAATAAAATCCTCAAATAGAGCCTGGCTATTGGAGATCATTAAGACTTGTCATCCTGGGTGGTCGGGGTCTAGTTGCTTAAGGATGTCGGCCAATACAAATACCGTGTTCATTTACAGTCGTTTCCACTTTTGGGTTCATCGACCGCCGGGACAAAGTAATTAGACGAAAAATACGCCAAATGCCGTAGTTTGGTAGAATTGCAACACAGCTCAACCTTTGGCCTCCTTGTCATGCTTTGACCAGAACATGTAAGGAGATGGAAAAGCTGCCAAGTCCTTTTTTGATGCAATCATTTGGCATTGGCCTATTGACACCATCATGGCTCTGGACTTGAAGGTATAAAGGATATGTAAGAGTCTAAATATAACTGTATAGCTGGGATAAAAAGACCAAATATCACAACCAAATCCCGGATTCAATCTCACGATTACCGGATCCTTACATGGCTAAGAAACGTAATTCTATTAACGAATTATGAACATCATACCTTATAATGTACTGAGGGTTACCCGCAGTTTATACACTATACATGACGTTTATAACGAACACGCTTATAACGAACTGGCGGATATAACGAACTTACTTTTTTTGTCACTAAAATGTGCTGTAGTTCTGCTGTATATATGCTTATAACGAACTACGGTTATAAGGAACTAAGGGGTCCCTTTGAGTTCGTTTCAACCGTAGTTCACTGTAACTTATCTTTCGTCCCTGTAATACACTAAGCTGAAGAATGTACATTTTAAGAGCTATTAACCTAGGATTAGCATTAACCAAAATAGCACATGTTCCTATTTCTTTCTCTTTCTGTGTACTGACTTACAAAGGGCAAATCATAATCCTTATATTGATATTAATGCGTTATAACACCCAGTGATCGTGCATTAAGCCATTTGCACAAAGGGTCTTGGCAACGTTCAGCTGAACAGGACATGAAATACGTATGTTAAAGCTAATCATCGAATTTGAGTTTGAATTACATTGGATCATTGGTGTCCTGATCTGTCAGGGACGAGTATGGTCTCGTTAGAATTGAGTTATTCTACTGGAGTAAACTGTTCAGGTAAGTATATGATATGACGGAGAAATGTATAATAATGTATTTTTCAGATGGAACGAAAGTTAAATTCTTG